CCCCAAAACCCCAAAACCCCAAAACCCCAAGATACTTAAATAAATTGCATAATAGGAAAATTTCTTAATAAATTTATTTATAGTTTTAATTAGTATAATAAAATGCAAAAGAAAGGTGGTAGTTTCTTTAAGAAAATATTGACAGGGGGTTAGTCATTATTCAAAAAAAGTGATAAAAAGTCAGCGAACGAACCAACTCATAATGAGGAGTAGAATAGCGATGAAGATAATGATCTCTACGAAGTAGGAAAATAGGGGTAAAAGCAGCCATCACAAAGCATTCTACAGAATTTTTAGGACTTTGCGGGATCTACAATTCAAGCAGCTGATCAATTCCTACACGGCTCTTCCAATAGTAACAGCAAAAATGGAGGGGGTAGTAGTAGTGTACATTCTAGATTAAGCAAGGGGGATTTAAGTCAAATATGTAGAGTCTTAAATACTGATGATACTCAAGAAGCAGAGTAGAGAAACAATAAGAAAAATAAGAAAAATTCTCAATCAGATAAATAAGCAGAAAACTAGAATAATAATGAAGAGGATGATTAGGACGTCGATTATGATTATCAAAATTAAAAAGTACTTCCGGAGAATATTTACTTCGCTGAGCTATAAAAGATTAACTTTGAGTTATTGTTAAGGAAGAATAACGAAGAAGTGAAGTAAAGTGAGAATACTACTAAGATTGATCAGCATTAACTGCATAATATGAAAACCATAGAATTCATTTTACTAGTGGGATTTCATCATAAAGTAGGAAGTTAGATAGAGTTTATATATCCACCATTGAAGGAAGATGTTGAAGGAAATCTTTCAGTAGAATTTCTCAAACATATACCTTTAGTAGCTTTGCCTGATGGATCTCATTTAACTGAAGCAGGCTATGCAAATTTTATCCTAAAAGATGCAAAGAATCTCTATCACTGTGTCTCATGCTTTAGACAGATACCAGCCAGCTTATTGCCTTAGCAAGACTCTATATCTAGAGCATTTGTTTAGAAAGCAGTAGTAATAATGTCTAAAATTCCTATTTATGGTCAACTAAGAGCAAAACTGCAGCCTACCACATAAGCTCTATTTGCACAGTTAAATTTCAATGATACCACTATATTGTCTGATTTTTATAAACACGCTAATTCATTTAATACTGGAATGGTTAAAGATTATAGTGAATTTTTGACTGGATTAAATTTGAAGTAGATGGTAAATATCTGTGGAATGAATGTAAGATATCATATTTTTAATGATTCATTTAATAGTTGCTGACAATTTTAAAAACTATGCTACTACAAGGGAGAATCATTGTATATTCACAGTTATCTAGCAAAGTGTCAAACTTTTTATATTCCCTGATTGCCTTATTCCCAGGAAATGCCTCATTTCAGTATTTAAACTCAGAACAAGTCCTATTATATCAAAGGTCTTTAAAGGCTTATGGAATGCCATTCTAGCTATATAATGAAAGCTGTCCATTTGTGCCTCTAATGACTCTGTATGAAATTGATAATTTTGAAAAATGGAGTGGGTACCTAGTGGGTAGCACTAATTAGCTATTTCTAAACTTTCCAAAATCTAAAGCTGATATAGTTATAAATCTAGATCTAGAAAAGATAGAGTTTCCACAAGAGAAAACAAATAAAAATTCAATCATTAAGATTAGCTAAAGTCATACATCATATGAAAAGAAATTAATGTAGCAGTGGCTTAAAAGTTTGAGTTTGATCTAAGAAGACAATGGTGGTAAATAGCAATAGCAAAAGATATCTAAAGCAAATATTATGATGAAACAGGACTAAAGTGAAACTTCTATCTTTCTAAACGCTAATGAAGATGAATAAAACTATATAATTTAGGAGATCAAAAAATACTTCTAAACCTTTTGCATTCAATTAGCATTATCTAAGAAGTACAATGATGATTACAACAATGTAAGATATTCACCAGTGAAATAGAAGCAGCCAGATAGAACTCCAGGTGGGAAAAAAAGCTCATCTGAGGATAGTGATGATGAAAATGGAGAAAATGATGAGTCTGTGATTATTCTTGGAAGAATACCTTAGGATGAGTCCGAAATAGTTTAAAGCTAAAATTTAAACATCAAAGCAGCAAATTAATAAGATGATCCAGTATTCATTTCAGTTGGTGATTCACATTTCACATAAAATCAAGAGGAATCTAAAAAGCGATCAAAGTCAAAGAATAAGTATGAGGTTAAAATTTAAAAGATTAATGAAAAATTCTAACAGTTATAAGTCTCAGAAACCAAGTATTCGAACAATGAATCTAAGCTAAAAAAGATAAATACTCTTAGGAAGAAGGCAGTAAAATCAATCTTAGAGTATAATGGAATGTTTAGTCTAAAATTTTATCTTGCATGGACCTAAACAGAAGCATTCTAGTTCTGGATTAAGAACTTTGACTCTAACATATGTGCATTAAGTTGCCAATCTGGTTCAGTTCACAATACTTTTATTCACTATGAAAACGGGGATTATTATTGTGGCCAAATGTATAATGGAGTGAGAAAAGGAATGGGGCAGTACTACGAATATCTAACGGAGTTAACCTATAACGGATACTGGCTAGAAGATATGAGGCATGGCCAAGGTAACCTGAGCTCAAAGAATAATGAATACAGCTATGACGGAGAATTTTATAAAGGAATGAAGTAAGGAAGGGGCATATTAGTGACTAAGAATGAGAAGTATTCAGGCAATTTTTACAAAGATAAATTCCACAAGAATGGTGTGCTATTTGAGACAGATGGGTCAGAGTATGACGGAGACTGGGTTTTGGGTAAGAAGGAAGGCATGTGTTAGTACAAAAGAGGCAATGGCGACTTCTATATTGGAGAGATGTTCAATAACTACTATCATGGAAAAGGTCAATTGAGATGTGCAAAGGATGAAAATGGGCATTCAGAGCTTTATAATGGAGACTTTCAAGAAGGAAAGAGGCATGGTCATGGGTAGTATATAAGCTCAGACTAGTTAATATAGTATGATGGAGAATGGGAAGAGGACAAAAGAGAGGGCCGGGGAACACTTATTATTACCTCTGAAGAAACAGGGATAACCAAATATATAGAAAATTTGTGGAGTAATGATGAATTCTAATTCAATTAGATTTGTAAAGTCACTATAAAGGACAGACATGGCAAGTAGATAAGCAGTTTTGAAGGTAAAGTTGATGCTAATTATAATCCAATTCTCACTTGACCAATATATAAATAAATTAATCGTAATTTATAATTTCAGCTCTGCTTTTATAATTTAAAAACATTATTTGGGGTTTTGGGGTTTTGGGG